ATTATAGGTCTCAGCGCACGGAGAAAATGCCTAGGGTGGGTGGGGAGGGTGGGACGTTCAGGGCGATTGTAATGACAACAAGGTCTAGTGATTTGCAAATGAAGATCTTTCAATTCTGCAGGAAGAATTGTGGGGTTAGGAAAAGCCTGGGCCAGCCTCCATTTGGACACATAGATCTCAATTCTTAAGTTTTTGAATTTTTTTTGAGTCCTTCTGTTTTGATTTAAAATGAAAAAAAAATGGAGTCTTTTCCATTAAATTTACTTGAAACCATTTTACATTATAATCTTTGTTTCATGAATGCTCCTGGAATTTGATTGCCTTTAGGAAAACTTTCACCCTTAAAAATGTTTTGTTGCATCTTTTTTCTTTTAGTGGAAGTAATGTCGGTTTGCAATGTTGTGTGTGATCTGGGGGTACAGGTTCCCGCCTCTTGGGGTGTACGTGACCACACTGCAGCCATCACCTCTGCAGTCCGTGGGGCCCCTCCCCCTTCTGCTCCCCCTCACTGTGCGGGTCCCCCTCTGAGAGCCTCAGCTCTGCAGTCCTATTGTTACAGGATAGGAAGGGGCACCCCGAACCTATTTCTACGGTTTGCTAGAAGTTTTATCAGTTCCTTTATTTAATTTTCTCTATAGTCCACATATCGGTGGGACTATCCTGTATTTCTTTTCTGACTCACTTTAAAATCATTTTCAAATCATCGCTTCTAGTTCTGTCCATGAAGTGGCAAATGGCAAGATTTCATGCCAGGCCCACCCAGGATGGGTCCTGGCAATGGAGGGCAAGGGTGAACAAGACTCATCACAGCACCCATGAGGGGCTGAGCACATGAGTCAACAAAGTCACAAATACTAGCCAAAAGCTGAGGCGTTAGGCAAATAGAAAACTGCCGAGCCCCGGGGACTGGCAAACAGAAAGGGGTAAGGATGTTCGGAAGCCTGACCTGGAGGTTTGGGAAGTTGCTGGCGAAGGCCATCTGGGATGAGAGCTAGGCCTGGGCGAGAACGCTGCGAGGACCGAGAAGATTCCTAAGACAAGGCGAGGGGGTTGCAAGGAGCGCCCTGACTCTGGGCAGGGCCCGGGGCGCAGGTGCCAGGGCGGGTTGATTGGAAGCACTGGCCTTGAGGACAGCAAAGCAAGGGCGCAGAGGCGCCAGACCTGGGCTCAGCTGTTTCCGGTGGCAAAGCTTCTGTCTCCACTGGCCGGCTGCAGGTCACCCTGCAGGGTAACACAGACTTGAGGAACAGATCGGAAATAAGGTCTCCGTCCTCATCAAAGCTGCTCTTTAACAACAAAAACATATTTTAAAGGAGAGAACAGCAGTGCTATGAATAAATGACCCTAAAAGTACAGAGAAATGAAACTTTTAAAAATTGGAACATGAAGCCCCTAATAGTTGGGGGTTATATTATGGTGAACTGTTTTGCCCTGTGACCATTAAAATCATCCATTTTCATTATTTTATATACTGACTTTCCGCAATTCAACTAACCAGTTTTAGCAAGTTCCAGGAACTTCTGTGATTCCTGGGGACAATTAGAATAAGGCCTCCGATGTCAAAACTATGCATACATTAAGTAAAGCTAGACCTTTTAAAAAGATCCCCAAAACCCTGAGAGGAATTCTATTGCTACTTGTCTGTGAAAACAAATTTCAAACTTATTAATATTGACTTTAAAAAGCAGGTGTTCCTAATGTAAATGTTTATATGAATATGCAGAGATTGGAGTAAAATAATATCCATAGAGTAATTACATAGAATAAGCTTTATTCTCCCCCTCCCCCCCCAGCTTAGCCCGCTGGCGGACAGGGCTTCTCAGCTCTGGAGCCTTTCACGCTGGGCCAGGACTTTCTTGCGGGTCTACCCTATTTGGAGACGGCCAAGAAGCACCCCGATCTCGGGCCTGCTCCACCCCTCCCACCCGGGCTGTGAAAACCCACATGCCTCTGGATAGGCCAATGCATCCACTAGGGAGGAAAAATACTTCCCCTTCCCCAAGGAAAACTCCCGTCCTGGTTCTAAAATCCAGGGTTTGGAGTTTGGACTCCCAAACCCATAAAC